CAGCCTTTGCAATGCCAGCGACATGATTGTGCCAAGACATATTGATACAATCGAACTTATCGAAGCAGAAAGCAGAATTGTCTGACTTGACATTATTATATCCGGTTCGGAGACATTTATAATTATATTTTAATACTAATACATAATAATAATAATAATAATACAATGTGTTTATAACCGTAACTGTCAATATATAAGAAACACAATATTAATTGACGAAAACTGTCTATGAGATACAAGTCCAATCCAATGATGTTAAAACACCAATTCGATTAGGCAGTCGAAGCATGTATATAAGAGATCTAGATCCATATGAAGCTTACCACAAGCTAAACAACACTTAAATATTTACAAGAGTAGAAAAAATGGTTTTAATCTTTGTCATTATTCAAATATACGCCTTCAAATTTGAAACACTTTGCATTTGAACTAATTCTCCAAACAATTTTTTCACTTCGAAACTGATACCTCAAAAATATGATTTTAAAAGGATTCAACTGGCTACAACGAGGCTTTCTTAGCTGATGAAAACCGCTCTCCACGCATTTTTGCGTAAATGTCTACACACTGATGACCGATAGGATACGCTTCTGTTTCACAAATTGTTGTAGACCAAGCGTGGTAGTTCTGATGTTACCGCAAGTTTGTGCCAACAGTCAATTGATCATTGATAAGTGATGTTGGTAATACTTTTATTTTTTCTTAGAAACAAATACATATCTACTTCAAACTGTGATATTCATTCAATTCAATCGAAATAAGCGCCATAAATTAATAATAGACAACTAAACAACTCAGAGTTAATTTTTTTAGTAGGATGCGTCACTACAGAGAAAGAAGTATCCCTATAATATATTGGATCTTCCAACAGGGACTTCCGAACTTTGACAATTGATAACGGCTATCTTTTTGAAGCTACATTCCATCTCAGATCGATTAAAGGAAATATAACCAAAACTTTTCTAAGCTTGTTTTGAGTAAAATAGCTGATGGTGACATTAGGTCAGCTATCAGAATCTTGAGCTCAAGTGATATGTTGGCCGAATACGATGAATCCACACTTTCAGTTCTCCAATCAAAACACCTTCGATCAGATTCCTTCACACATTCTCTGGATTCGCAACCACCACACGATTTTTCAGAATTTCTGGTATTCTAATTTTCAGAACATGAAGTATCGGAGGCAATTAAATCTTTTCGTTCTGGTTCTGCTGGTGGTTTAGGTTCTTGCCGCCCTACCCACATTCAAGACCTCATTAGTCACAGCTCTGGAAACTCAGGACAGAAATTTCTTTCTTCTGTTACAAAATTGTCTAACTTCATTTTTACTGGTAGGGTTTCTCCAGAAACTTGTCCTAAACTTTTTGGCGCTTCACTGTGTGCTCTTCGGAAAAAGGATGGAGGAGTAAGACCGATTGCCGTCGGTACCTTTTATTGTCGATTGGTAGCTAAACTTGGTTGTATGGGGATTAAAGACGAACTAGGATCGATGTTACGTCCACTACAGTTTGGTTTCGGTACTGCAGGTGGATATGAAGCTGTTGCTCATGCTACTCATAGATATATAAATCTTCATCCAAATCCCGATTCAAAAATTTTCCTGAAAATAGAGTTCAAAAATGCCTTCAACATGATTGATAGAAACATCATGCTTCGTAAATATCATTGATCTTGGACTTGAACTAAATTTAAAAAATGCGAGTTGATTACTCTTTCAACTCCAAGTAATATTTCCGAATCCATCATTTCGAAATTGGCTCCTGACATAAGAATTTTAGAAAAGTCTAAACGGAGTCTTCTGGGTGCACATGTTTCTAAAGACTCACTTTCAGAACATCTTCGATAAAAACGGGAATCACTCAAATTGCTGACCACCAGATTGAATGAACTTCCAAAACACGTTGCATTTTGAAAAATTGTTTGGCGATTCCAAAACTCATTTACGCCCTCAGATGTTCCCCCACTTGGTCAAGTCAGTTAGAGCTTGACGAATTTGATAATTTACTCCGCAACACGACAGAATATGTTACAAACAATCATTTCATTAATGATAAATAGCTCTAAGCAACGCTTCCTGTAAACCTTGACGGGCTAGGGCTACGTTCGGCTTCTTCCTTAGCTTTACCAGCTTTTCTGTAATCAGTCAATAGTGTTTCTGATCTTATTGATTTTATCCTTCCTTCCATATTTATCGATATCAATGACGTTTTTTATGCTGAAGGTTAATCACTTTGGCATGCCGCAACTAATATTGCTCCTCCTACAGATAAAAAGAAAATACAAAGTGCACGGGACATACCTCTTCTGAACATTATAACTGATAAACTTCTGAAATCTACAAGTGTATACGATAAGGCTCGTCTGAAAGCAGCAATGATTAAGGAATCGGGTGTTTGGCTGAATGCTTTACCTGTTGCATCTCTTGGAACACTATTAGACAATGAATCTTTCATAATAGCAGTAGGACTCAGGATGGGTATATCTATTTTGTGCCTCATACTTGTGTTTGCGGTAATATAATTGATGAGAAAGGTACACATGGTTTGAGTTGCAGGAGAAGTGCAGAGCGTACATCTTGACATCACCAAGTGAATGACATATTGAAACGAGCTATGTTGTCAGCGGATGTTCCTGCAATTCTGGAACCCTTAGGTACCAGTCGAGATGATGGTAAACGACCATCCAGTAGCGGTTGAAACTTTTGGTGTTTATGGCCCAGAGTCTCTGTTATTCGTTCATGAACTCGGAAGGAGAATAAACCAAGCAAGCAAGGAAAGATCACCTTTCTACCTCTTTTTTCATAGAAAGAATTAGTATTGCCATTCAACGTGGTAATGCTGCTTCGGTCCTTAGAGCTATTCCTCCTTCACATAATTTTGATGAGATCATGCATTGCCCTAATTTCAGTACGGAACTAAAATCTCTTCGAAACAAGCCGAGATTTGTAGATATTCATCAGTCTCCTATCGAGGGTAATTCGCAAGAGATTGATACACCTTCTTCTTTTTCAGTGCTGTCAATGGAATTAGGTCATTCTTGCCCCCCAAATATGAGTTGCAGTCCTCGTGGTTCTGGTTTCCTTTCAGTGTTAGATTTTTTCTTGTGGGGTTTTCTTAAGTCGCAGGTGTATGCGAATAAGCCACAAACCACAGCGGTCCTCAAAGCCAACATAATTACGCGCCAGAGTCATGGTAAATTTGACATGGTTTCCTTTCTATTCAACGTGTCATAAACAAAGGACGTAAGTTCATTTAGGGCAGTGATAGTAGATTTATTTCTTCTAAATCCATGCTGAAATTTCAGTAGTATATTATTTGATTCAAGAAAATTGATCAATCTGCTGTTGCAACATATGTCAAAGACTTTAGCAAGCTGACTTTGTAGACTGATATTTCTATATGTCTATATGTCTCTCATACCATGGAAATACGATAAACCTGTGGTATGGGACTTCACTTGCGTTTACACGGTCACAGCTTCCCATCTAGCCGGAAGTTCGAAGTCTGCTGGAACCGCAGCATTGTCTGGCGAAAAATTGAAAAGGAAAAATACCAAAATCTTGGTAACAACTATCTGTACCATCCAGTATGGCCCAGAGTCTCTGTTATTCGTTCATGGAGTCGGAAGGAGAATAAACCAAGCAAGGAAAGATCACCTTTCTACCTCTTTTTTCATAGATAGAATTAGTATTGCTATTCAATGTGGTAATGCTGCTTCGGTCCTTGAAGCTATTCCTCCTTCACATAATTTTGATGAGATCATGCATTGCCCTAATTTCAGTACGGAACTAAAATCTCTTCGAAACAAGCTGAGATACGTAGATATTCATCAGTCTCCTATCGAGGTTAATTCGCAAGTGATTGATCCACCTTCTTCTTTTTCAGTGCGGTCAATGGAATTAGGTCATTCTTGCCCCCCAAATATGAGTTGCAGTCCTCGTGGTTCTGGTTTCCTTTCAGTGTTAGATTTTTTCTTGTGGGATTTTCTTAAGTCGCAGGTGTATGCGAATAAGCCACAAACCACAGCGGTCCTCAAAGCCAACATAATTACGCGCCAGAGTCATGGTAAATTTGACATTTCGGATGTGCTCCAACCAGAGAAGTCGTGGCGGATATTTGAACGATGTTATATTCCACACATAATGGAATCAATAGGTCTTTCAAACAAATCAAAAATTTCGATGATGTCTCACACACAATTTGTTTTATTTAGGAAGATAGGAAGAGCCTAATAAAAACCCTATACATGGACAAGAGATAGATTCACTCACCTCACACTTACTAAAAGGGATTTAGCAAAGTGCATGCGGGTGGTGACAATTGGTTTCTTCCTAATGCCTATATTACATGGAAATCAAACAGGACAATAGCAACTACCATCTTAATATAAACTATGAGAACTACAAAAACATGGGTTTCAGAGAAATTAATTTCCTTACAACAAAAAATTGTAATCATTGACAATGCTCCATACCATACAAACAATTGAAAAGTTATTAACATCAATGTTGAGGTCCACAATTCCACTGTAGAGTTTCTTGACATATATGTAGATCCAAAACTTGATCGGGCCCCATCATATTTTCATTTCTCTGCTGAGCAATTAGCATTTTATATTGTTCTATTGAGATGTTCATCCAACATGGTGTTCAATTGGATATGCCTTATTGACATGAAGACTTGCATCATCGGCGATTACAATATTCAATTTACAATGAAAAGAAGTGAGAAGAAACAAAGATGGTCCTTTCCTGAAGTTTTCAATTGTTCAGGAAATAACCCAACAATAAACGTAATCACTTAAATAATGCATTGATTACAACTAAAATTACCTTCAGCTCTTTACAAATCAATATGCATTTATCAAAAATAAAGACGTATCTGCTTCTTGTTTTCTGATCATCGTGAGCTTTTATTTTCAGGCTAGCATCTATAACTAATCGACCATAATCAGAGAGCCTTTGATTTGAAGATAAATTCCATTCTGTTATTGTTTCTTGTAAATTATTGATAACTTCTAGATCGTCACTATCTCTGGCAGCCTCGTTTATATAACCTGCAACATCCAGCATGGCTTCTCTTGCTCTCTTCAACTCATTGAGTTCTTCATGGTTCTAGAAAAAAAAATTAGAAACGTTTTTTTTGTACAAGAATATCCAACTTAAAATTCATGTTTGACGTTCTTATAGACATTATGACGAAGGGATTTTTAATTTCAATGAGTGTAAAGGTGACTCATACATAAAGGACAAAATTCGAGTAGTTCCAAATACACATTTCGAAACACTGTTATTCCGTTCAAATTTCTACACGAAGCGTTGTATCTACTGTACCACAAACTTTTAACAACAAATACAAACAGACAATTGTGGATAGTAATAATTGAAAAGTCGTGAAATTGTGGTGTGATTTCTTCTTATTTTTCCATTTTTATTTATATATTGGTTTTATTGCTTTTATTATTATCGTTCTTATATTTATTTACTACTTTCATTTTTTAAAAACTATGCCTTTCATTTTATTTCTTATAGATATCAAATTTTTCACTACTTCTTTAGAAAATGGAAGTCCAAATCTGTAACACCCATCAAAAAAACATTATTCCTGTGAAAATTAATTGAATACATAATCCCTAAGCTTCTATTCATCTGTGTTGTTATGGATCTTCCTTTTTTAGCGAAAAAAAAATCTGCACCAAATACTATTTACCAGTTTCTTTGACAATAATGTATGTTTCAAGGATACAACAATAAACTGACAATCGAGGTTAACTAACATCTATTCAGTGATATTAATTTATTACTAAAAATAAAACAACCATGTTATCGTACAGCCAAAAAGTTTGAAAGGATAGATTGTGATAGACATTCTGTAAATAACATCTCCTGCTCAATCAGAGTCAACATACCTACACAAAACATCAGCGTCTAAATCAGATTTGAATATTAATTTTGCACCGAGAGTCTTCTTGACAAAAAAATAAAAAACTCCTTACAATGCTTTGTATAAGCTTTCATTCATTTTGTTTCAAAACCAATTCAACATTGACACACTTTCGCATAAATCTTGTCTTTTCGGCATTACGACATACAGAAAACTATCTAAAATTTGTTGTCAATTGCATTGTTGTTAAATTCCCTTCTTTCAAATTTTGAATTCAAAATTTCAAACAAGTGGTGTTTGTTGACTTAGGTTTGTAGTCAAACACCATATTTTCCTAAAACTTGTTTTAAGTAGTCAGTTTGATCTAATTCTGTGAAACACAATTTTAAATTATGTTCCTTATAACACATCATCTACATATAATGAAATATTTATTTTATTTTCACTCAAGATCTGGGAATATGAGCAAAAATCGTTTTCTGATTGAACAAAGTATCAAATTTTATAACCTAGAATTTTGGTGATTTTTTTAAAACTGTATATTTGTTCAACTTACAAACGGTATTTCAACTGCTTCTATTTCTACCAGTTAAAAACATGCATACTTCATCAGTCAGACAGGGTGTTATGTAATAAGTGTCCGATATTTTACAGAACGATTCCTCAGTTATTTATAAGGTAAAAAGTTCATATAAGCATGGGTCCTCAAGGCCTTCATTTTTGAGATACATCTTGTTGAATTTTTTTTTTGTCTTTCATGAATAAATTCTAAAATAATGTCGATATTTGGACAAAGATTGGTATTTGGGGACTTTTCAATATGATGAATTCAAATTTGGTTTTAGTTTGAAAAATCGATTCCTCTATTTTTTACGGGAAAAAGGTATGCTTGTCAAAAGTCGCTACAACCAGCCGTTTTCCATATTTAACTTGTTTGATTGATGATGATCTATTTATTTTGTAAAAATTCATATTGAATATAGAATAAAGAAAATAACTTTTCTACTAATTTTTTTATTTGTTACGAACAGTTTCGGTTTGTTAAATTGAACAAACCGTTTAACAAACCATAACCGGTCGTAACAAATAAAAAACTTAGTAGAAATCAGCCAAAAGTAATTGTTTTATCCTATATTTGTTTTCGAAATATTTCAATTTGAATTAATCGATGCATCTAATCGTCTTCTCATTGATTCGCGAACTCTGAAAATAAAAGTATCAAGTGAGCTAGTAAGTTTATTCCAATGTTTGTTTTTGTGCTGTCATGCCAAAAATAATATCTTGACGCATAGTTGAATGGTTTTAGTACATTTCACAAACAGACTTATTAACGGAAATGCATATGACGTTATACGTATGTATCAGAAGCGTTACCGAATCGCACAACTCCTACTTCAAAAACCTTTCCGAAAATTCACACTCGGTTAAGGGAAACAGGAAGTTTTGAGAGAACTAGTCATCTGTCGGGTACACATCGGACGGTAAGAACCTCAGCAATCGAGGAAGCAGTTCTTAATCTGATAGGAGAACACCCGGAAAAAAGCTAGAGAAAAATAGCGCTGACAAACATTTCTCATGTTCTGGTATGGAAAATTTCAATTGGTAATTTGTTATATTGCTACCATATTCAAAGAGTTCAGGCACTCCTCCCTCGTGACTTTCTGTTACGTATCAACGTCGTTGGTTTCTCCAACTCCTTATTCAAAATCCTTTATTTGAAAATCAAATCCTATTTACCGACGAAGCAAATTTATCACGCAACGCTATATGCAATTTTCATAACAATCATTTGTGGTCACAGGAAAACCCCCATGCGATATAGAACAGTTCTCTCTCAACGTGTTGGCAGGAATCCTTGGAGGTTATTTTATAGGCTCATTCTTTATTCCGGGAAGATTAAACGGAAAGCTCTCGTCATTTTCTTGAAGAAGATTGGCCTGTTCAACTAGAACTTTGTAAAGAGTTTATTTTGAAATTAATTGCTTTTATCCTTTCATTGGAAGATTTCCACATTTTTTTTTTTGTATAAAGATGGAGAAGTAGAAAGCCAAAACTTTTCTTTCCCAAAAATTAATCTATCCTCCCAATTTGAAATTTGTGATGTTTCAAAATATGCTGAATGGTAGTTCATGAAACCCGAAAACAGTTGCTAGCTGTCTTGTACTCAGCATATGATCAAGTTCAACATGCTCCACTGTTGTTGCTTCATTCATGACTGATGATTCAATTCCGTTTTTTATTTACTTTCGATTCCGTTCTTTGAAATTTTGAAACTATTCATTACACATACTGCGGCTACACAGTCCTTCCGTTGGTTGAACCTGATGATTCAATTCCGTTTTTTATTTACTATCGATTCCATTTTTTGAAATTTTGAAACTATTCATGACACATACTGCGGCTACACAGTCCTTCCGTTGATTGAACCTCTCGGCAGCTCTTTGCGTACATCTATTATTTCCATAATTCAGTTCAATCAACTCAACCCCCTCTGTAATAGAGTACACTATTGTTTGGTTTCAGTTCAAAAATACAATAGCATACTCGAGTGGAAATCACTTGTAGTAATCAAGTGAGACATAGATACTACATAATCTATATCTTTGATCTATGGTATTCAAATTTTTCGGTATTGAGGCAAAAATTACCAAAAACTTTCACAGTACTGTATCAAACAAATAATATTTTCAATATTTTAGGCCAACAAACTTTTTAGATGATAAAAATTTAAGGTTAATCCAATACTTTTTCTGGTGTTAGTTCGAATTATAATAGTATTTATCAATCATTGCTGAAGCACAGAGTACCCATGGTATATAAATATTACAACCTGAACCTATTTTCGACGGTAAATACTTACAGGATCAGTATTTTCAATCAGTTTGTCAAGAAGTAAATGATATTTCAAAATCCTTTGCATGGGCACTGACAAAACATCCCTCAATTTGAATCTACCATTATTATCTTCTTTTTCATATTTCTGTAAAACAAAATTATAAAACAAATGCTGGTCGTTTTTCGCCGGAGAGAACTTACGATAATCGTCTGATTGAAGATTTCATCATTATCACATAGCTCTTGCAATACTGATGTCGCTTTCGAGAGATTAGCACAGTACATACCATACACTAAGAATTTTTCTCTCCACCTCATGAAAATATTACTGAGTTTTACTGAAGGATTGGTACGTACTCCTAATAACTCCTTCAAGAAATCGGAATGGATATCTTTCAACTCCTGAAAAAAATTATAATCCAGTTGAGTTTCAATTTCTTAATACTACGGAATTTACAAATAATAGGCAAAAAACGGATCAGCAATTATTTCAAATACTGAAAACAATCAATCCATAAATTCTGTCATGAACTATTGCACAGTTCATTTACTTTTTATATATTTATTTATAAGTAGTTGAAACTACTTGTCTATGCTTGAAAGCAGAAAAGATGTTAGGAGATTTTCCAAATTAATCGACTTATAAATTAAAAAAAGCGAAGTAGGGGAAGTTCCGCGAGCATATTTCACTTTCCTCAATCTGTCCAATCTAATGTTTATTTACTATTGATCGACTTTTGCCACCTTGAAAACTTCGGCAGCGAAAGAGCACTCGGAAAAGTAACCGAAACTAGCACATGAATTTTTTTTTTCATCACAAACTTTGAAAATTTCACCCAAAATGCGTTTTATTTTTCAAATAGAACTTAGATAGTTCAATGGCAATAATCACAGAGAATATGTTACATCAACCGGAAATGTTTTCCTAGGAATATAACTTGACCACATTAAGTGGTCAAGTTTGGGGTTAAGTTGGTTCCACTTCTTTTATCATAAAAACCATTTGAAAATATATAAAAAGGTAGAAAGATGTAGCAAAGGTGGTGAAATTAAATGTTTGAAATGTTTGGATGTTCAGCACTTTTCGGAATTGCCGCCAACTTTGGCACGAAATTCAAATGTATTGTTATTACTGGATATTTGACTGGAATTACATAATTTTTCAAACGAATCTCAAAATTATTGCCACAAAAGTCTAGTATAATTTAAGAAAAATAATATAAAGTCTTTAAAATGGAGATAGGTAAAGAAAATTCATTGGAAAATATTTGAAAACTAATTGAATTTGGATTCCTTCATTATTTTTGTAAGCAAATTTCGATAAGTTTTATATCCAACTTCATAATACGTTGGTGAATTTTTCAGATATTCTCGATGGAATTTGTCCCTATGCTTAATCGAATGGATTATGCCAGGTGAAATCCATTGTAAGATTTTTAGAAAATTTGACACTGCATATTCTGTATCATTACACAGTACACGAATTTTTTTATTATATAATGGATGAAATTTTTCTTTATCCCGTTGTTTCCAAATCATATTTATACCCTAGTCACGATGGGAGATTGTTTCTTCATATAGAGAAATATAAACGAGTTCTAGAATTCAAAAACGTCTGCCATATCCAATTCAGTTTTAGGCAGTTTAGCTTCGAATTCCTTATCCTACCGATCCAATGAAGGGGTGAATCATCGATTCCGTGACCACTCACAAGAAGACATCAGTGGCGAACGTAGTATCAACCGTTACAACATTGCATCAGAGATACATTTTTCAGTCAAAACTCTTGGGTTTAATGGGTTGAAAAATATTGGAAACATCTGTTTCATGAACAGTATAATCCAATGTTTATCAAACACGAGATGGTTGCTGGAATATTTAAAAAAGGATACATACATGGAAGATATTAATACTAGTATTTCTAGTATCAAAGCGTTCGCAGAAGTTATCAAGGAATTGTGGTCGGAAGTTTCATCTTATAGAGTAATTAACACAGTCTACTTTAAAAGTCAGATTCAAAGATTTGCCCCTCGATTCATGGGATCTGCCCATCAAGACGCCCACGAATTCATCCGATATCTTTTAGAAGGTTTACATGAGGGCCTCATTGGAATTACTGAGAAACATAAACCGATCTTAACGGAGATTGACGAAAAATTGAGAGACAACGGAAAAGCTCAAGAGTCCTGGTTGAGATACTTTAACATGAACAACTCTAAGATTGTAGACAATTTCGTTAGTCAATCAAAATCTATGAAGTGCACACACTGTGAATACTCATCAGTAACCTTCGATCCTTTCTGGGATTTGTCTCTCCCCATACCACAAAGAACTGGCCAATTGAGTTTGTCACAATGCTTGGATTTCTTCACAAAAGAGGAAACCCTGGATCGAGATGAAAAATCAACCTGTTCGAGGTGCAAGGAAAGAAGAAAGCCCCTATCAATCTATAAGTTTCCCCGTATTTTAGTATTTCATTAAAAAATATTATCTCCAACGGAAAGATTCAGAGGCAAATTGAATGTTGCCATTGACTTTTCTTCAGAAGAATTAGATATACTACGGGCATTACACAGCATATTGCAGACACCCTTATAGTGGCACGTGGAATGAATACAACGATTCACACGTGTCCCCAATTTCACCAAAATCGCTTGAGTGAGGAGGCATATGTCCTCTTTTATGAACGAGAGCACTTTTGATGAGTTTTTTTTTCTTTTTATTTTAATAAGCTAAATTCGGTTAATTGATTTGTATTTCATGATTCTCCTGATAATAAATTAATATGAAATGTACACGAAATTATCTAAACTTCAGAAAAGTTTATGACTTCAGTAATCAAATGAATCTGGTGACTGGTTATATGAAAAATAAAATCAACTTTTTCGAATAATTTTTTGTTTATCCTCATGCATTAATATCTAGTGCTGGGGTACATGAAATTTCGCACATTTCAACATGGAGACTTTCACAAACACATATATGATCGATTATAGTCAAGCTTTGCATAAAGATGATCCATCAAAACGGATAGAATTTTGTGGGATGTGACTGGTATTCAAAGATATCAACTTAAAAATAAATTGGACACACGAATAACACTTCTCAGTATAATTTTATTGTCAATTGTATCTTTTTATCTATATATGTGTTAGGTTTAGTGTAGTTTAGGTACTGTGTATATGTAATTGGACTCTGTCTGTATATATTCAGGATAAATGAATAAATGAATGAATTTTCAATTTGCATTTATGAGAAAAGATTGAAATTCCGAAAAATATTTGCCTACTGACAACTTGAAGTGAAATCTTGGAGAGTTTGCCTCTGAACTTATCTCAGAATTGTTCGTATTCTAGATATTGTATACTTGAAATGGCCAGAGATTTGTTCGGTTACCAGACCTCCTACGGAAAAAATCTAAGAGAAGGTGTATCAAATACACCCAAAACAGGAACTGGAAAAGTGGATTAGATATATTTTGATGGAAATTGACCAGATCCACGACTGTTTATGTATTGACGATCCAACAATCTGCTGAATGGCATTTCAAGCACCTTGGCTACCACATTTTTGTTACTTCAATATCAAATGTAATAAAATTGCGAAATTAATTTTATATCATTTCTTGTTTTTTTTTTTCATTAATTTATTTAACAAAGTGTTTGTGGCTGAAATTGTCAATAAATTCATGTTTGTCAAACAGTCGGTTTGAGGTGAGGTTTATGTATCACACCTTGTTTGAAAAAAAATTCGTCAACTGTTATTTGATACATTCAATATTTTAGATAAAATGTTTACTTGTATAGGCACAAAAAAATACAATACAATTATTATTTCATAAGTGGTTTGAGATAGACTTAAGAGATATTCAATGAAACTTAATCACATTGGTTAGTTGAATTAAAAAATTGGATAATATACAAGATGCCCAAGGTGCTCTATTTGAAGAAATTAAAAGAAATGATAGTTGTTACGAATGACATAAACAAATACTTATTTTTATTTTTTTTATGTTGAAGTTTTCTCTGGAATGAAAACCACCATACCTTTTGTTTGATTTTGTTTTGATACTTATTTATATCTTATTTATATCTTAAGAATGGTGAGAAATAGGTAATAGGACATGCTTCATAAAAGTGATTTTGATTTTGAAGCAGATTAAAAAATAGTATAACATTTCATCTGAAATTTTCAAGTTGATGTTCTATTACATTTAGATGTGGCAAAGATAAAAATATTTTCAAAGTATAGATCACGTCCCTCTATGATAGTAATCAAAATTTGGAAAACATATTTGTTTTGGTTCTCCAAAAACGTCTAATAGGCCATCTTATCTGGAATGCCCTGTATATATATGTATATGTATATATATACAACTGTCGCACCCCTACGAACGACAACCCTCAGAAGTCGAAACTTGTGCGAGCTAAAGACTAACGAGGTCTTACCTTATAACGTGTGGACGGGTTGGATGATAGCAAGTGAAAATCGCTCGTTCAGCCTGTGGTTTGAACCACCGACCAACACGACGGCCGATTTGAGTGAGTGAACAAAGCATCCACGTCGAACCGACCGGCTATCGGCTATGTTTAATCTATTGTGTTTACAATTTCATAAATATAAATGCCACATAAATTGTTACAGCGGTGTTGTTATATTAGAATTATATATCATTCAATAAATCTATTTCTGATTCATTATGAAACCAGACATATACAGATCATAAGTACGTAACTGTATCAAACCCACATCGTACAAGTGTATCAAAAAGGGAGATCAGATTCATCAATGAGCAAATCAAAAATATTAAGGCAAATAGAGAAAACAAAACTCTTGACACCAAATTGCATTAGCAACATAGTTGTGAAGGGATTTATAATAATTTCAGGTGTCCCTAAGTAATCCAGGGAGATGACGGAATGGTTGCTCAAATAGTAAGATGGGGAGCATGTTTATTGAAAACAGAAAAAAATCTTGTCATCACCATTGTCCACCAAGTAAATTGTATACCAATTAACAGTACAAAGATCCTCATTAAAAGAGGTGACAATAAAGTTTCTAAAATCATATTTTTTTCATTTTAAGGTTTTACAGGTTGGTATCGTCCAACCCGTGCTAAGAATTGCACGTAAAAACGTAAGATCTCGTTAATCCTTTGCTCGAACAAGTTTTGTAGGGGGGCGACAGCTAGTTACTGGATAAACAGATGTTAACAGATTTTTTACATACCTAATTAAATTTGGGTGAATCAATTTCACAAGAAATCGTCCTATGATCTGAGATCATATGATGTATGATGAGATATGCCCTGGATTATTTACAACTGAAATGTCTATAGTAGTGTTTGGTTGACATTGGCTATTTCAATTTTGAATATATTATGAACAATACTTTCCACTGATTAGTATATTACATTTAAAAAGCAAACTTATAGTTATTTAACTGAGTTGTCATATTCATTAATGCACTTAAGTGTATCTAATGTACTTTTGTGTGAAATGAGAATTCTGAGATTTTGTTGCGATAATAGTCGTTACTACTACTACTGTTTATTCTTATACATACCTTTATTTTAAAGAACACGGTGTTATGATTTTCAATGTTCATAACACTTAGCAACGGTTTCATGAAATTCTTTTTCAATTTTGTGAGAACATCAACATAGTTTTTTTCGGTGTCCAACAATTCCTTGATAACAAAATCCCGTTTTTCAACAGTTGGAGGTTGCTGAAAAATACCAGTAGAATGGCCGTGTCAGCATATAAATTGAAGATAGAGAAAATAATATATCAAATGATACCTCTACTGATGTACAAGCTGGGAATAAATCTTGATAAATTTCTTCTTCGGTTACATCAAAAGCACAACCTTGATCAACTAATCCTCTTGCTTTTACTGGCAGTTGACTAACAAAAAAGCCATGCAAAATAAAAAAACATTCAACATATCATTACCGTGTAAAGGTTTCATGATATAAGGTAAACTGTGTGTGTATACAACAACTAGTGAAGAATATCAATATTGTATCACAAGAACTAGTGAATTATTGTAGTGATAATGGTTTCTCAATGAATACACCATATTCGATTCCTGCCCAAAAATTTAAAACCAAGTAACAATTTATATCTAACTATCAAAGAAAAAACTATAGAGAACAAAGAGAGTATGAAGTTTCTGGGAGTTGTACTCGATAGATAGGTCACTCTGTGTGCCCCATTCCATTTTAGAACTAGAAGTACAAATTTTTTTTTGTCTGACTGGCCAGAACCAATCTATACCTCGAGTCACCTATCTTCAAAAATTAATAGATAAGTACTTTTTGATCATTCCCATATTGATTTCAATTTAAGAGCCACCGGTAGACAGCTGTTTCAGCCTATTGGGCATCGTCAGTACCGGGCGAGCGGTCCTCGATTAAAGACAAAATGAGAAAAAACCAAGAAAATAGCTGATAAAAATAGCTGCGTAAACGCAAGCGAAACATAAGTGGAACCACCTATTGGTGTGACACCCAACTTGGCAAGTTGACTTGGGAATCTGGATCCATCTAATTGCCTTTTTGCAATGGAATGTTTGTAGGAACAGAAAGCGATTCCCAATTTTAATTTCAATATGATAGCTTGGCTTCATCATAACTCAACTTCTGGCTTTGGTTTCATCTGATTGCCAGTTTGCAATGAATACAATGTAGAGACAGAAAGTTGTTCCAATTTTGAGGTTGATGTGGCTTTACAACAAACCTCTATTAGGGACCCTCCGTCATTGTGGTGGAATTTTCAGACAAATTTTTCGGTCACTCTCACTAGAGAGTTACCGAAAAAAAATGACTTAAGACTCGATGAAACACAAGCTCAAGTTTTGTAAACTGTTTGTGACGATCTCGCAATAAAATATTTTTCAATATGTTTACAGCAATTTTTTTGAAATTTTGAATTTGGAACATAAAGAGGAATCCTTCTACATCATGATAATGGCAAACATCCTCTAATTATTGTCTCATTTGAGGTATCTTCCTGACATAATACCAAATGACTTTTTTTGTCTCTGACTTGAAAAATTACATGGAAAATTATTCACAATTTACGAATTTAAAAGTGGTTCAAACATATGCAAAGAAATGTTCATTTCATTAGTGATTTTTTGGTGATAGTTTTAAATCTATTTTTCGAATTTCAAAAGTTACACTTTTTAATCCATGGCAATTACTTTGAAAAACAAGAAAAAAATGTCAGTGATACTCGTGTATCATAGGATTAAAGATTATTCAAATATTTCACTAACCTTTGGAACCTTTGGTGTAGTAATGAATATTACTGGAGTTTAGTCCCAACACCAGTACGTTATTTCTAACACCTCGACACGTGTTTCAATCACCAAGTGATCATCTTCCTCTTGAAGATGATCACTTGGTGATTGAACACGTGTCGAGGTGTTAAAAATAACGGTCTAGTTTTGGGACTAAACCCCAGTAATATTCAACACAAGTTTGTCTTTTCTAATAACAAATCTTTGATTATTCAGCAAAATGCCGACATTACTTAGCCTTTGAGAAAATCAAACCCTTAATTCAATACTATAAATTAAACACAGTTACACATATGATGTAATGACTATTTTATTCCTAGCTAGGCGAGGGGGTGGCGGGTGAAATCAAGCTTGTTGGTACCTTGCCATTCTAGTGGCACCTCAAAAAAATTTCAACCAACTTATATATGAATAATTTCGGTGCTGCTTGAAATGTAGCACAAGGATGTTACGTTTAAAAATGATTAAGATGAAAAAGGGAAGAATCATCTTTCCTAAAATCCAAGGCATTACTAAATAACGATAAATGGTTCAGATACAAAAGAGGGCAGACACAAAGCATAAAGTAGCATTCCTTAAAACATTGTGTTAGGATCTAGTGTTTTGTGTATATCAGCGACCTAGACTGGAGCCCAGTAAAAGATTTTATGGTTCTCCATTAATAATATTTATGTTAGCAAAACACAGTTTCTCAGTTACAACACAAAATCAAGAACGGTTGAAAATACTCAGAACAGAGATACATTTAGGAGAAATGACTTTAAGAGAAGTGTCATACTACTGAATTTCTAGGTATGAGTGATACACCTGATTGGGAATGTCACATAAGTAATACAACAAAAAACGGAACAGTAAATTTTATCTAAGATGTATTCAGAGAGTGCTTGATAAATGTTCTGAAAAATTATTATTCTGAGGAGTATATCGTCTTCAGCACAAAAACTATTTGTAATCCACGAAAAAAGCATAAGTGCAATGTTAAATAAAAATCAGGGAGACTCATGCAGACCTCTTTTCCCCAAATCAAATATACTTTCACTATTCCACAATATTGATAATTTTCTATTATATACATAAAAACATGAACAGCATTCCCTGTCATAAAATATACTCCCGGTTTCTGGGAGTACTAGAGTAGAGAGAGTACTAGAGTACTGGGAGTACTAGAGTAGAGAGAGTACTAGAGTATTTCTGAGCACAGTGGATAATGGCAATAGTGAGATGGAGAAAAAAAGGGGACTGAAGAAATTGCCCTAAAATAGACCCCTTCTGAAAATGACCCCCTCTGTTTGGACTCTAGCCTGACCAGATGTGATTGTAAAGGGGTATCAGTTGTTGAAGGTATCCCACTATATTGTCAGCAGGCACCGCAAGACATTTGAGCAAATGAAATATATTGTATCAAATGCCTTGCAGTAACCCATCCAGACCATAGAGACGACACTCTTATACTGTATCAAGTCTTGCGTTACACATATATCGATGACCAGGTTGTCTTACATCAATTCCTTTTTCTGCTCATATATTCGTTCGAATACTCTGTCAACTGCGGAGATCACTAGTTTGCATGAGATACTCGTAACATGCTCAAGCATGTAGATTCATCAACCAATAAGTATTCGGCGCATTTGGGACAACAGCAGCAAATTTCTTTGAATCCACAGGGCCTTCTAACGTCATCTGAAGATAACGGGTTATGCAGTTCATAATACTAAGGCTGTCGAAGCTCTACCGAGAAATCTTCTAACCGCGCTAGGACTGGAGTGTCTAGGTTTGGTGGTTGTGGATGTTCATACATGTCCTTCCAGGTTTCCACCCGATCAGCGGTCGGCGGATAATCTACAACACGCGGAGGTTCTTGGAATATGCAAGAAGGTTTCAGGCGGAATTTAGTTTTCCGCAATACTTCTCGCTCAACTGACTAGTGATTTTTTAGCAGCCACTGGCATCCTTACACTCGACGTTTGGAGGCTATTCGCCGCACAACGTGTCTGGAAGGTCTGTTGGTCGCCCTGCTGTCCGTCATGCACTGGACAAGATGCGTGTTGCGTGTCTAGCTTCTCTCTTGTGAAGCTGTTGATCAATCTTCCGAACCACAAGGTCGGGATTCCGTTCTTTTCCGGTTAAGAAAGCAACTGAACGGCGTTGCACATGGCGGTGTTAATTTTCCAAAAGCCTCTTCTGTAACAACCTCGTGAACCTCCGTATCCAATCGAGCCATTTGTTTGGAGCGTCCTGCATGTGCCGATCATCTCCACCGGTGGCATGATGCAGGTCTCCTTTCCAGCTATGCCAACAGGTGGTAGATCTGCCACTTCCACTACTTTGTTAGCATAAATATAAAAGATGAATGTCAGTATGATTGATGAGGCCCAATTCTCCTAATGTGACTTTTTATTTTTTGTGAATGTTCTGAAGACTTATAGAATTTGTGATTTATTTATATAGACCGTCTATTTCAAATAGCTTTGTAGAATGGAGTGAATATGCAGTCAAATACACATTAGCAATAATTTAAAATATTCTTTCTATTGTTACATCAACTGACAGGACTTGCCAAATAAATTAAAGATTTGGAATATTTGAATTGCAATAAATTTTAAATTTATAAACATAAATCTTTACCTTGCAATAATCGAAAATCAAGCAACTACAAAATGACAATCTGATAAAATAGTGACGAAATAAAATGATACTTTCTAAATTACAAATAAAAAAGCAAGCATAAAAAAGTCTAATAGGATTTTTCGAAATCTGATAAAAAGGATTATGGAAAAATCAATCTTGTGAAATGAAGGATATGGGCGTGTTTAAAAATGAACTATTTCCTGTATATAATTCAAGTGAATCGCAAAAGTAAAACAGTCTTGTAACAAAAGTTATTTTTTATGGAGGAATGAGAGTTTTTATTAGATTTTTCTTGGGCTATTCGCCTTCCACAATAAAAATTAGTAATGAAGAACTTTATACGGGGTACAGCGCGATGACCGTCGCCTAGCCGTATTTTGGGAAATACTAGGATTCATATACTGTAAATTGGCAAATATAATTTTTAATATGCTTTATCGAATAAAAATGACGGCTTTTACCCAACACTTCCGTTATACCAAAAATTGGTAACAAATTCCTTAATTCAAATGTAACACCCTGTATATTTTCACATTTTTGAATACCTGGCATACATCCAGTATCAAAAATGAACTGTTCTGGATATATTATTTCTACTCGAAAAAAAATAAGTATTCGGCTCTCGAGTGATGCCCCCATAAAATTAAAAAGTTTGATTGAATACATGAATGAGCTGTTATTGGTTCATCAAAATAATTCATTCCATCGTCTTGTAGGAGTAACATTTCCAAAATGTTATATAAGGTGTTCGGAATCGGTTACTAATTCTGAAGATATAAAAATGAGTCAAAACTCAGTTTTTTCAAATGCAACACCCTGTATTTTAGTTTTGATAGTTTTGACATTCTAAAACGATTTTGAGTAATTTTCATGAAACATTCTCTATATCAAAAATCAACCGTTCACGAGATATTTAAGTTTTTCTTGAATTCTGTTTGTTTTCTATTGCTTTTATTATAGAATATATGAACTATTTGAGAAAACAGATCTCATCCATGATATTACTTAATCAAAATGTTCCACACTATTGTAAAGCGTTTCGGCTCTATTGTGAAAAAAGTTTAGTATACCTTTTATAGCATTTGCATGACGGTTTGATATTGTAGTGAAAGTATTTATTGCTTTGTGTTTTCTTACCATAAACACTTGTTTAAATATGATCAGATGACTTATTCAACATAACATCAAGGAGAGGTAGTTGACCATTTTCTTCCATCTCTATTGAGTACTTTATTGTCGGTTCTTGTTCGTTCAGGTTATTTAAAAAGAATTCAGATCATCATGACTTTTATTGTAAACAAAGAAGATATTATCCACATATTTCTATCAAGCCCAACAAGCACAAACACTATTCACAACTAACATCATACTTTATATTCCGGGACAATCCAAAAAGATGAATCGAATTGGTAATAGTTACAAACAAAAAATATAACAAGATCTTAACTTTTCTCACAATTTCAGAACATGGAAGAAAAAACAAAAAAAATATGGATTTATTACATATTTTGTTCTTGTGGTCAAAGTTATACTGATGGTCTACTAAAGTGTGCGAAAAGTAGTATAGAAATTATATCAAAAATAGACAATTAACAGGATGTAAATTGTAAGAACCCATTTTGAAATCATATGGTTACCATCGAGTAGAATGGAATGAAACTAAAATAATCGCCAGTGAATAATATGCTAGAAGGCAACTACATATTAATCAGTTCTATGAAAACGGATCGTACTTGGCCTCCCGTCTTGAAATCTGTTGAAGGAATTTGAAAAATAAGCTCTTTTTTTGTTTGACAAAATAACTAAATACCACAAGTTATTGAGAAACCGATCATTTTTCTTTGGAAAAAATATATTGATACACTCATATACTTGTGTAAAGTTCTCAATTATCAGTTTTTTTTTCGAATTGAGGAAGGTGAATAGTCCAGGAATATAATATCTATTTAATCCATTGTATAGAACCAGTAACGTTCCAGAGGGGTAGTCACTAATATTTTTCAGGCAGAAGGGTAAGTTATAATTTATAAAATTTTCTAGTGACAGTCATTGTTTCTTAGAACAATGATTTCCCTCGACTCCATATGAAAAAATAAGCACATACTACTGAAGGTAATCGATTTACTTTCACTAAACTATTTCTAAACGTTATTTCACATATCCAACAATTAATGACATCATTCTGCTAAAGCCAATTTAAATTCCAGATATTCCACACCAATTCATTAGGTTTTCATTGCACGATAAGAATTGAATGCAGTGCCTTTTAGTGGAACAAGAGTTAAACAAGAGTTTTTGTTTGCGACTTCCACTACAAACCCCATTTCCGTCATTTCACAAGAAGAATTCGTCTCATAACTTTGCCATCACATTCAGAAACATCATAATGATATGTTGGAAAAAATGAACTATTGCACTAAACAATGAGTAGCCTACCCTCCTAATAAAAAAAAACTATGTTGCAAACATTTAGGGGTGCCAAAGAGCTGGTTTCTATGAGCCCACCTCAGGTAAGCTAGAGGAGAATGTTACATAACACAAATCATCATAAACTTCCTCCTCCCAATCTTCCATTTGAGGACAAGGGATCTTGAATTGCAACCAGCTGGGTTGTGAGCAATTTGTTCCTGATTGTATATCGCTGCCGATGGGAAAGAAACAAGGAAAAACTTGTTTAATTTATGATAAATAATAAAGGTAATATTTTTCAAAGTCATAATTATAGGTATTAAATTAATGTGCAGAATTGGATTTCAAGCATTAAATATTTACAGTGCTAAAAATGTACAAAGCTGTACATTTTTCCAAGTTTTCCTACAGTTGACAGCAATTGAGTCATTAAATATTTAAATTCTCTGAGGGACCATAACAAGTAATAGTGATACTCTTATTGTAATTTTTTTTATATTTCTTCTTGTTATTATTATTAGTCATTGAAAATATCGATCAATAGATACTTTACTTACACACTCTTAAGGCTTTGGTAAATCATTTCTTCTTCTCTCTTCATTCGTTGTGCTGTGAACCCCCTGAAATTCAATAATAATTGGAAAGACTGTTCATACAACAGAAGAATTAATTTTAGTTTAATTGAAACTTACTGAAAGTAAGTTAAAATATTGAAGAGAAATTTAACAGAAAACAATTTTGTATAAACAAAACACCTAAAAAATTTCAAAATGGTTTATTTTTACAAAAATTCCTAAATTCCATCAACTGCTGATAGAAATTTATAGTTTCAGCTTCAATGTCATGTATAAAAGTAGTACCATATTTTCATTGACAATTGAGCTGCCATTTCGGTCTATTTGACCCAGAAAAAAATTGTACTTGCTTGTTTTGGATTTGGTGATTGATCTACATCTCTAACAGAAAAGTGTTTTTGTAATAAACGAAGTCATTAGAAATTATCTATTAGATTGGAATGAAATCTTTAAAACAATAGTTTTTCGATTTTTTTCGTAAATCCTGCTAAGATTTGGTAAATATTGGTTATAATGGCTCGCACTAGTTTTTGAGAGAATTTTAATCAGACCTTGTATTTTTGTCCGTTGATCACGAATCTTAAGTTAAAACTTGGCACACTGACTCTACATTTGGAGATACAACTACTCAAAGAGTCGAAAGAATCGACTATTCCGGGGAACTCATTCTTGGTAATAAAAACTCGTTCAAGATCGCATGCTGCAGACCTTCATTCACTTGCCACTTTCGTTTAGATACCTCAATATCTGTTGGCATTGTTACAAAATTAAACTATAAATAATAATAACGAATTTATTTTCCCACAAACCATACATGTTTGTGGTACAGGCAAAATAATTAAAAACCATAACATAACACATCTTGATCTGATGGACAGAAGCAATCAAATTATATCAGGAACTGATGTCCTTCAAAATTATTAGCAGGAGAAATACCCTACTTCAGGTGGACAGGACGTCGACCCACAGCAAATCACTTCAAGATTTTTGGATGCAAAGCTATTGTACTGAATAAGAATCCAAATAGAGAAAAATTCAATAATCGATCCACCGAACGCATTTTTCTTATATATTCAGAGGAATCTAATGCATTTTGACTGTAAGATCCTAATTCTCGAAAAGTTTTAGTGTGCAGAGACGTCAAACTTACGAGTGAATTGTCATCTGAAGGAAATTATGAAAAATTCACGTCAAATGAAAAGACAGCATATACAAATCTTTTAAGAACTGTAGAAATCGACGAAAATCCACTTTTACCAAGTAACACTTCCATATCTGACGGAATAAATGAAAATGATCAAAATGAATTAAGCCAGGTAGAGATAGAAAATGAATTTGAGTCAGAAATTACTTCAGAATTATTGAACCGTAGCAGAAGGCCAGAAATAAAAAAACAACAAAAAGGTAGACCAAGAAAAGAGTTTTGCGGAAAATCACAACCAGAATCTTCAGAATTTGCTGGTGCTACACAGACTCTGAATTCGCTCACAATTGAAGATGCCTTCATGAGTCACGAAGCTGGAGAATGGAGAAAAGCAGTAAAAAGTAAATATTTAGCTCAAATGAAGAATTAAACATGGGATATCGTAGATCGCCTAGAAAACCGAAAAGTCATTGGAAGCCGAGTAATCTTAAACAACAAATTTGATGCAAATGGAATTCTACACCGGAGAAAGGCCAGACTAGATGCAAAAGGATATGCACAACAGTATGGTACATGAAACTTTTGCCCCAGTCGTTTGAGCAAGTTCAATTATATTATTGATGGCATTATCGGTGGAATATGGATTAGTAATTCATCAAATGGATGTTTTGACTACTTATCTAAACGGCCAGTTAGAAGTTTTTATGGAAATACCTGATAGTTTACTTGAAATTCTCGAAGATATCGTAAAAACTTCTAATATTAACCGTGAAATTATGAAAGAATCACAAAAATGGCTTAAAGAAATCAAGAAAGGTAATAAATTTTGCATTATCCGAAAAGCACTATATGGATTGCGTCAATCTGGCAGGCAATGGTACATGATATAAATGTGAAACTTTGATATAAACGCGAAACTCAGATGAAGAAATGAAAAAGTATCCATACCAGTATTTGATTGGATCCTTGATGTATTTGGCTGCTTCTACGAGACCGAATCTAGCTTATACCGTATACTGAGTCAATTCAACACGAATTACAGTACTGAACACTAGACAGCGGCTAAGCGGGTACTCAGATATTTGAAAGGTACTTTTGACTATGCATTGACATTTACAAAAACGGGAAAGAAGCTTGTTGGTTTTGCTGACGCTGATTCTGGTGCGTGTATCTAAGGGAGACTTTCTTATAGTGAATATGTTTTTATTTATGGGGGAGCAGCAATCAGTTGAGAGTCACACACACAAAGAACTGTTGCATTATCCACCACTGAAGCCTTAACTGAAGCTGCAAAGGAAGCACTGTGCATACAAAATATTTTTAAAAACTTCAGATTTGTTTTTTAAAAAATGGACTTCACAACACTTAGTTTTGTCATTTATGAAGGTAACAAAATAACTTGATCCACCAATGGATTTTACCCTCGTTGGCCCATAAACATAAGTATGGACTATTTCCAAAATATCTTCTGTTGTTTCGGAATTTCCAGTGGCAAATGGATTTTGAGTTTGCTTTCCTTTCAGACTAAACTTTTATGTTTAATATCTCGTAGGCTCTTCTCATTCAAATGTCCAAACTTGAAATGCCATTCTTTCAGTTTGTTATTGGAAACATTTTCAGCAAAATTCGTGCATTCTGATGACGTTTTTAAGAAATATAAATCATCTTGCTTGTACCTGCAGTCGACAGACTTATGGCCAAATTTCCTGCATTTATGACATTTGAATGGAAAACTGGATTTTTGTTTTTCGGATGAGCATTTCTGGTCTTTGTGCTTTTTCTGATGTATTTTCTGTTTAACAAGCATTGCATCCTGCACTTGGTTTCTCGTCTTGTCCTTTTTAGCATCTGACTCTTCAATAATTATAATTTTTAGTGCTTCTGGTTTCGGTAGTTCATCTTATGATTCGATAGCACATCAAAAAACATCATATTCATCTGGCAAACTGTATAAAAACATAATTGTCAGTAATTCTTCATTGATAAGAATTTCCATGTCTGCCAATTTATCGACGATGTCGAAAAATGAATCCATATTTTCTCTCACGCCTTCACCTGGCTTCATTTTATTCAAAGTGAGTTTCTTCAAGAGGGTAGCTTTTCCAGGCAGGACCTTTTGAATGGTAAATACTATCAAGTTTAAACCATATTTCACGTAATGTGACACACGATTTTACTTATTTGAGTTCAGAAGGACTAATTGATAGGATCAGATCGAGCCTTTCTATCGTTGACTTCCCACTTCTTTGCTGCTTCCATGGACTCCTGGGTGCGTGTTGAGATATTTGGCTCAACAATTGTACCATCAACGTAACCCCATAGGTCGTTTTTAACTAGAACCGCTTCAACCTGAAATTTCCATGTGTCAAAGTTATATTTGTTCAATGTTTCAATCCGCATTTGATTTCCACTCATGTTATATACTTTCTGAGTGTTTTTGCGCCCTTCAAATACTTTTCAAAACATTTCTTGACCTATTACCTATTGTAATTCAAGATGACTTTTATTTAAAAAAAATTCGAAATGTCTATTTATGTATAATCTAATAATTATTTGTATCTCCATGTCAACATCATCCATAGCAATGGATTTTTGAAGTATGTTCTTACACATGGATGTGGCTTGCATATTCAAGATAAGTTCTCATCAGAGAGCAATACAGAATTTTTAGCCATTTGATTTCAGTAAAGTCTGAGTTATATCATCTTAGGAAGCCAAAGATTTTGAGAGACTTATCAACAGTAACTGATATGTGGGGCTGAAACGGAAATGAGTTTTCCAGAAGTGAACCTAAGTCTTGAGTTGGTCTGTTGAGTAACGGTCTATCCCAATTGACAAAACAGAACATTTGGTAGATTTAAAGTCAGCGTTACATTTTATTAGTCTGAAGTTATCAAATGTTCATCGGACTTTGTACACAAAGTGTCAAATTTATCAGTTACAATCAATTCAAGTATGGAACCAAAGTCATTATGAACGTTATTTATCTGAAATAAATTGTGAAAGGCTCAGATGTTAGAAAAAACATCAACTGCTTCGATTTCTGACCTGCTTGACTTGTGGTGTGGCTGCAGAGCATAAATCATCATGAGATCATATAGCTTTAGGAAGATTGAAATAACCCAGAATCAAAATTGGTATATCCGCAGATAATTCTGTTAGTATATCTAAATCTTCGGGAAACACAGTCTGCAGCTGAGAGAGGTGGAAAATAGACTGTACTCAGAATAAAACTATGTCCTGATATATCAACTAACACAAACAGTTGTTCTATCTTATTCATAGAAGATAGCAATCTACTTTGTATGTTTCTGGAAACAGCAATAAATGAGCCACTTCCTTTGTTCACTTAACTCATCTGTTCTGATCGGTCTTTACGATAAATAACATAATTCTCTAGACCAAGTTCTGTGTCTTCAAAGCTCTTGGTCAGCAATGTTTCAGTGAATGCAAGAATGTCAAAGAGGAATTTATGGCTATATTTGTATAAAGTTGACTTAATAATGACAAAACTCAAATAATTAATTTCGCAAATAGATCCTTGCCAGAGTTGAATACCTTTGACTTTGTCAAATCTCACTTTCCTGAGATCCAGTGTGTAGCACTCCAGTCGAAGTTTCCTGAAATCTAATACTCTTTTAAAGTTAGTGTATTCAATTACAATTTCAATGAGGCAATGGATCCAATGAAGTGGCCTAAAGGTTCCTTCATACAACCTTTTTTTCATTTGCGAAGCCCAACAGTAGTCAAGAAGTAAGCAAAAACTGTACATGTCAACTTGATATCGGCGCTGAATTGTGTGTGGTGCACTTTAATGTACAGGGCTGTTTCAATAAATTACTTGATTTGGAGATAATTATAGATAAACATTCTCCAGATATTCTATGTATTAGTGAGAGCTGGCTTAAATCACAAGAGTGTTCATCTTTTCAAATAACCGACTATAATTTAATCTCTTTTTTTTTGTAGGGAGAAACATATCAGGGGAGGGATAAGCATTTTTGCCAAAAAATCCTTGCAAATTAATAAAATTCCTATGGAATGTAGTATAGAGAAAGATATTGAGGTATGTGCATTGGCATTAAATAGTAAGAGTAAAACTATCATAATTTTATCTATATGTAGATCACCTCTTGGTAATACTATAACTTTTTTTTATTCATTTGATCGATTAATTGAGACGCTGTATTGTAAGTATAAAAACTTAGAATTAATTGTTTGTGGTGACTTCAACATTGGTATGTTAAGGTTTAGTAATGATAAAACTGACTCCATAAATATACTTGAGCAACATAACATTAGTGCTATTATAAGCGAACCTTCTCGTATATGGGGTGATTCTGCAACATGTATTGATAACATTTTGTCCACTTCGAATCCTATTAGTTATTGCATTAATCATTCCTCTATATCTGATCACACTTTCCAGTTGGCAACATTCCGCTACGATCAGGTAGACCATAACCAAGAAACATACACGAGATGTTTTAATGATTAAAATATTGCGAAATTTTCTAGTTTACTGTTGCAGACTGATTGGTCTGTCTGTTTAAAAAAAAAAGTTGGTGCAAACTCCAAGTTTAATAGTCTCTATAATACAGTTTCCTATTATTTTGACACTTCATTTCCAAAAATATTAGTCAGATCAAAAAATCTGTGGACTCCAGGTGGATAACTACTGAGTTGAGAGAAATTAGTAGAAGGTTAACCGATTTATCTGAGCTGAACAAGGTATATAAAAACGGTTTATATCATAGGGAATATCAGGAACTTAAAACAATATATCAGGTTAAATTGAAACATGCTAAAAAAAACTTGCAATGATGATAGAATCTCTTCTGCTGACAATAAGGTGAAAGAATCCTGGAAAATCATCAAGGAAGTTTAAGAATGGTTATACTGGCAATGCCATACCTTGTCTATGAAGTGCTGAAGATGGTGACATTCTTTCTGATAATTTTGCTATATGCAACCTTTTCAGTGACTATTTATCAACTGTCAGTAGTAGCATATCCAAATCTGGCACTAAAAATATGAATTATATGTCATCTGCTCATCAAAGTATTTATTTCTATCCAGCAACTAAAATGGAAATTGAACAAGTTATCAAAAAAGTTTGTAAGAAAAATTCGTCCGGTATTGATGAAATCCCTGGTCATGTTATTAAAAAGGTTGCCAATGTGATTTCTGAGCCTTTGACTCATATAATTAACTCCACTTTCATTGAGGGGAGGTTTCCTGATATACTGAAAATGTCAAAGGTTTTGCAAATATACAAAAATAAGGGCTCTCGATCTGAGTGTGCATCTTACAGGCCTATATCGGTACTTAGTCGGTTTTCTAAGATTATTGAATACTACTTCTATCAAAGATTATATGATTACTTTGTCAGAATGCTTATAGAAGAAATAAATCTACAGTTGGTGCATTTGATCAACTCATTAAACATACGCTGGAAATCTTGGAAAACTAACAGCAGACTTTAGGATTATTTATTGATTTGAGCAAAGCCTTTGACCTCGTTGACCATAACATACTGTTACACAAATTGCAGTTTTATGGTATAAGTGGCTTTGCATTGAATTGGGTTGGATCTTACCTGACTGATCATAGTCAGATGGTCTGTGTGAATGGAATTAATTCTGAAAGAAAATTTATATCAATAGGGGAACCTCAAGGCTCTGTTTTGGGACCCCTTCTATTTTTTGTTTTTATAAATGATCTTCCAAAATTTTGTTCAAAAACTTCAATTGCTGTTATTTTTGCGGATGATACTAACATCTTAGTTTTGCGGGAAGTATGTCCGAAGTAATTGTTGAAGCTAATGAAGTAACTGACCCAAATTTCTGAGTGGTGCTCTATAAATGGCCTGCTGCTAAATTCTGATAAATCTCAAATGCTCAACTTTGTTACTAAAAATACAATAATTGATAGACGCTATTTGGTTAGATTAAATAATGAAACTTTACATCAAGTTAATTGTACTAAACTCTTAGGTGTTGATATTGATAATAAACTTACCTGGAAGTTACATGTTGATAGTGTCAAACTAAAGTTCAGTAAACATATATATTTACTTCGTCGGTTAAAACAAACAGTCTCTCTTGATGTTCTCAAGCTTTTATACCACAGTTTAATTCAGTCAGTAATTCTTTATGGTCTTGAACAGTGGGGCTTATCAGCTAAAGCTGATGAAGTTTTTGTTATTCAGAAAAAGGTAATCAGAATTCTGGCTGGTGCATCTTCAAGTGAACACTGCAGGCCATTATTTATTCGTTATAGTTTATTAACAATGCCTAGTTTGTATATCTACCCCTGATATATATATATAAAACAATATTTCAATTATCCTAGAAATGAGCAAATCCATGAACATTTCACCAGAAATAACTCTTATGGTAAATTGATAGTGTCAAAAAATCACCCCATGTGCATTGGGGTTAAGCTATATAATAAGCTTAGTGAAGACATTAAATCCTCAAATATCAATATCTTTAAAAGGCGACTTAAGATTTTTCTATTGCAAAAAGCACACTACTCTGTGGATGAGTTTCTACTTGAAGCCTAATTTGATTGTAGCTTATTAACTTTTTTTAATGTATGTTTTATGTTTTATATTGATTTTTAATATTTTTTTATGTTTGTTTGACCTGTTAAAACAGCCAGTATTTTATGATGATGTCATGTTTTTCTTGTCCAATGTGATTGTAAAGGAAAACTGATTCAATAAATGTTTCATTGATTGATATAATAATCAAAATATAAACATATGCAATCAGGTAAAATTTTTGGGACTGATAATAGTATGCTAACTGTATCAATGTTATTTATATATGCCTGATTTTATATTTTCATTTTGTCTTAAAACTACTTGTGTGATAGTATTGATTATGTATGTAAAGCTTTGATTTCTTATTTAGTTATTATTTATTACTGACTTTGAATTTTTGGGACTGATAATAGTATGCTAACTGTATCAATGTTAATTATATATGACTGATTTATATTTTCATTTTGTCTTAAAACTACTTGTGTGATAATATTGATTATGTATGTAAAGCTTTGATTTCTTATTTAGTTATTATTTATTACTGACATGTTCCACACTCCTCTAGGTTTATATATGTACATTATTGTAACGGTTAGCAAATAAAAATCTATCTATCTATACTTGCTGTGGCAAATCAAAACAAAATAACAAAAATTTTGTTTGAGCACTCTGTTAGCGTTTTGCATGTATAATTAGCATTTCTTACTTTTTATTATTAGGAAACAGAATATAGCACATTTTAGGATTATGTCAAATTTGAAAAATTATCTTTACTGATAGTAAATTCGTTCTGTTGTTCGCTATTTGGAGTACTGGGGTGGGTGTTCCAAAAGTGTTAATACGAGTATAACATTGTATAAGGTACCTAAGGTAAAGACAATTTGTGAAATATTCAAAAAACATGATAAACCATGAAGAAACTAACAATAGCCGTAAAATAAATACATTCCACTGTTGATAAAAGAACAATTTGAGTTTGTGAAAAAAATATAAGGAAAATAGGTACATATAATTTGTTTCCAAAATGAAACATAATTTCTATCTATTGGCCAATCAATATTGGCCAATCTATAAGCACACTATGTTGATAGATTAATTTCTCACTAATGTAAGGTACCCCAGATTGAGTCACTCACGCCAGAAGTTTTTCGTCATCTCTTCTTGACATATTTTGATCAGGCAGAGATTGATTTACTTTAGGCAGGAAGGACAAATTTGGAATAGACTAACGTGGATGAAACGCACCAGATATCACAAAAGAGGATCCAGGGATGAAACATTATTTTTTATTTCTATTCATAAAGCTAAGAGTAAAGCAAACTTGCTCACTCTCTGTAATATAAATATTTCCATTTCAATATTCACATAAGAATAAAATTTGTTCACAACACACAAACTGATACCGTTGATAATTTTAGATTCTTATAGATTCACAGAAGTAATTCAAAGAAATTGGTGAAAGTTCATGGGTTTTGCAAACATAACCTAAAATAATATTTAATGGCTGTGGATCAGAATTCACATGATTAAAAAATCGGGAAAATTGGTGAAATGAAAGTTTTTTATTCTATTAAAATATTTGAAATGGGTGATTGAAGGTGAAGCCTGCAATTGAAAAAAGGGCTCCTGAAACAGGAGTTTCAGTTTCAACTTCTAGGTGGCAATATATTTGAGAGTCGACAGGAGAGTTTTGACTTCAGATTTGTGATCAGCGTGTTTAATAAAGAATAATTCAGAAACTAAAGTAAGTCATCAAAATGAATATTTACCCAGATTGAAACAGAGAAGCCAAAAATTATCTAAAACACTATAGTTTCTAAATTTTTTTAATGGGTTCCGTTTTAATTTCAAAAAGGTTTTCGATACTTACGGGATTCTAGATTTAAGAACTTTCGAACTTAGGGAAAGTTTCGATAAAGTACACAAAACTTTATGGAAGTTAGTGAGGTCGAAAAGCATTGTATCCTCAAATAAATCAGATTGTTTCAATCCAAAGTGGTCTACACACGCTTTCAAAAATATCCCAATATTTCTCAGGCATAAAAACTGAAATAATAAATTATGAGAAATATTACAGGCTACTCCCATTCCCTTCAGCATACCTGAGCCAAAGTAGGCTTGAGGCTTACATCTTTCATATCGATACATCCCGGATCTATTTTATTGAGCAATTTACAGAGAAGTACCCCATCACGAAGAATATTTGCTAGGTCAGCAATGCCTGCTGTAGGCCAGTTAGCTTTATGATCATTTCGCAATATTCCCCATCTTGTAAACCATGCTGCACATTCCCTCCATAGTTCATCATTAGTTTCTGGACTGTAAATACTCATCTGGCGTCCAAGGTGGCTCAACTTAAATCATGATTTGAGAAGTTAGGTAGGTATATGTGTTTATTCCAGTAACAATATTTACCAAATTATCGTTTTCCGTAAAAGCCGCAGCCATACTCAAAAACTATTGAAAAAAAAGTGTTTCAAAATGAACTTAATGATGCTGGGTTTCAACATTAAGTATCTAAATAACATAAGTAATTTTTTAAATGACAAAATACACCCTTATCCTCGTCCTGTTAGTCCTGTCAATATCTAACCTGACACACGACACCTAACATCAAAATCAACAATCAACTGATGAAAGCGACTTAAGACAGCAGCGATCTCGCATGTTTCCATTGCTCATAATAACCCCAAGTGTTTGTAATGTTATCTTATACTGCAAGTAACGCTTACACTTATCTTCTTTGCGGAAGCGTAGTAACCTAATTCTTTTATCATTCCACGAAAGCTCAGAAAGGCCTCAAGTATCGATATTATTTTTCCATTATTCACACAACTTTGAATTTATAATTATAAAAGCTAATTTTCGATAGTAACCGACGTAAGAATAGATGTGTTATCATTAGAAAGCAACAATTTGAATTGACATTCAGAATACTTTAGGCGTACCTGATATAATCTTATAGCATTACTTTCAAAACTCTAGTCCCTCCCCATGCCCCCTCTCGGGTTGAGTGCCTTGAAGTAGAAGCTTCCCCCCATTTATTTAGCGAGGAGAACCTACTACCCCACTTCATCCACCCCCGCTCTCCGAGCGGTCCTCAACTTACTGATGAACACTTCAGCAAGATTGACATCTGACCTCTTTTGGTCAGATGTCAAGCCTTTAGGTGCTATTCTTTCGCGATCGGTAATAAAACTCTAGTCGAGCTCCGTTACATTCGTTTTGGATCGGAACAACAGCAGAAACAATATTTAGACACCCCAACGGTGAAATAAGCTACTTTTGTGGACAAACCAAGCACGGTGTAAGGACTTGCTTGCAAGGGAACAACGGAAGCAATGAAAATTACACCAACATCGACAATGAAGTTTCTCTTAAATTTACCTCCCCTACATCTTGTGATGACGAAAGAGACAAAAATGGGCATATTTTGAAAGGACCATTCACTGATCTATGAGAAATCGGGCTCAATTGGAATTTTGGAATATTCGAAGGATCGAACATCAGACATGTTCATGGAGCACATAACACCGAAGTACACTTTTGACACAGATATTACAATAAAAGTCACAATCTGTCAACCGAGGAAGATGAATAGATTTACCTTGTGATACAGACGGGTCAAAAATCAAACATGAAATAGAAATGGCTGGCAGAAATTCACATTACAGCTACTCGCTCATCGGTCAATACACATCCGTCTTTCAAAGAGAAGTGCATGCAATCTTGTTATGTGCGAGGAATATTGATTTAAGGCCACAATATGCAATGATCGAATCAATATTAATACAGACAGCTAGGCCGCACTTGAAGTTCTGATCAACCTTAGAATTCTCCCCTCCCCTCCGTAGAAATATTCTTCATAGGCAACTGAGCTATTCGAGATAGGTTGACTGTACGCTGGGTGACCCAAAATTCAGAAATCAAAAGTTATCAAGTCTAGTCCTACCTACCTCTAAATAGTCATTGCATAAGAGCGACTGTGAACGAAATGTTAATTCTTCTGCTTTAACAGAACTTGTTCTGGAGGATCATAGAATTAATTTTGAAAACCCACATATTTTAGATAGAGAAATCAATACAACTACAAGAATAGTTTTAGATATGATACACATAAACCACGAAGAACACTCAATGAATAAAAAAAACTAATATTGAAAATTACAGCAAAATTTACACATACCTACTTGAATATGACAAAGAGAACAAAATATCTGGTAGTATTCAGAATTCTCCCACTTGACAATGTCAATCAAATTTTGATTAACTTTCATAATTTCATGTTTTTTCTATACTTTTTTAAGACATTTTATATTTCTTCTTGCTGCTTCTCTAAAAGTTTTATTATTTATCTCTTTCTCAAATCGAACGTAGAGCGAGCTAAAGTACAGTGTTCCAAATGGAGCGTTAACATGTAATTAGAATGGCAGGGAGGAGAGCCAAAACAGTGAAAAAAATTTAATGACATTTGAATCTTGAACAAAAAGACACAAGGACAGATTGAAAAACAATTGCAACGTTATGACACCACGTGTTTTCTAAAGTTCAGACGTTTTAGCATTCTTAATGTAATGAACCTTTTTCCTGAAGTACGAAAAATCACTCACTATCAGCGCTAGTAGTTCGGTAGGGATAACACTGCCTACTCCTCATATGAACATAATATTAAAGTACAATTAAAAAAGAATGTTTCAACAGAAGAAAATGTTCCTGGAACAAAACTAAAATTTGCAACTGTGAAGGATAGCAAGGTTGTAACATTAAAATGTTGGCTTGCATGCCCTTATTTAAAAGTAACTAAAAAAAAGTGAATTAATAGACAGAGGTTAGTATACAGATTCTAGTAAAAGAGTAGCGATAGATTCAAACTGTGATAAAAGAAATTTAAAATAATTATGAATTTCAGATTTATTTCCAAGTAAAATATGAATCAAATATAGATGGTAATGAAATGAATTCATTTAAATATAATAAATGAATATAATTTAATAAACGATTGAGGTTATATCTCATTCTGATCAATGGTAATTAACTATGGAAAATGTACTATTTATTTCATGTTTTGAGCATACATATGAATATTTGTTTATTTTTTGCACTGTCATATTGCACTTACATCTAACCTCATCATTATGAGGTTTTATAAATGGTATAAAAAACACGTTTTCTTCCGGATATCGATTATCCGACGTACAATTCGCAAAACAGCAATGCTTTGTTGGCATTATACTAGCACAAAATGATTTTTCATATCAGATTTATATTTTTAAATAGTAAATTAATATTACATACATAACACTGTTTTACATGTGAATAGTTTGTGTTTATCCCTACTACTAGTGCTGCCTCTCGTGACACGTTTGCTGTACTATTCTCAGGAAAAAGGCTCATTCGAGCTTTTTTCCTGAGAATAGTACAGCATTTCCATTTTACTACACACACAGGAATATGAGGGATTTTTGTCAAAAATCAACTGGTGCCATGCATCTAAATTTACTATAGATGGGATTCATAACACAAAAGGAATATATTTTTGTGCTGATCATATTTGACAAAATGAACAGTTTTAAATAAAAAAACGAATAAAAATTTTTTTCATGGAAAATGAGGAATAAAACTTCCTATGTCTTTATACTACTTGTATTTTTAACTAATGTTACTGCAGTTTCGTCCTACAAGGGCATTTTCAAACAAATGCAATAAGTTTATTAAATGTCCTTGTAGGATAAAATTGCAGTAATATTAATTACAAATACTGGTTTAAACGACATAAAAAGTTTTATTTCTGATTTTTCATGATGATCTCCTACCAGGTAGGAGATCCATCAATTTATTAAAATGTGTTTGTATGTTGAAGAACAATAAAATTGACTTTTTTCTTCACAATGAAACACTGAATGCTAAGAAATGTATCCAAATTATATCGAAATACTAAAGACGAATGTTACCGATTGCTTTTAAAGGAATATGTGTAGGAATTCGTAGTTTCAACAGGACGAAGCGCCAGCTCATTCCATTCTCGAAGTTTCCAAGAATCTATATGAAATGACTGATGAATGTTGGATTGGGTGTTTATGGTCGTGGGATTGGCTACCAAGAGAATAGGGTACAGTACTAACAGCTTCCTGAAGTTAAATTCTTCAAAACATATTTTTTCCTGAATGCGGCTTTATTGAGAAAACTTGATTTAGGTATAGGGACATGATTTGTTATTTGAAAGCATATCATTCATCTTTCGTATTGTCTGGTGTTATAGAGGAAGTTTTATTTGGAAAAATTAACTTTTTTCATGCACATAAGAAAGTAACACAAATTATTGTTTATGTAAAACCGATAAATAATAGCATTATCAACATAAATGTATTGTAATAAAAGAGCGACCGAAATTTCATTTATTTTTTTTATTATTCCTTTTTGTGTAGTGAATGGCAGTCATTAGAGTTCTTTAAGAAACAAAAATTAGTGAAAAAACTGAGGAGTAGCAGCATTGCCTCGAGCAAGACTGATGCGCTCCCGCATGAAAACTTCTGTCAACTGTTGACAGGAGGGAATTGGCCAAATGCGCCTGAGAGGAAAGCAACGGTCATACAAAGCAATTTCCATTGTCTGCGGACAGTATTTGTAAAGAAGTGTAACTTGGTATTTGTTATTACTTCAAATAAGTTCAAATGACTTCTAAAAGTTCTAGGGAACGAAATTTGTCACTTCTGTCAGTCGTCCCGCATATTTATTGAATTTCCAGGTGTATCTGTCAATTGATAACACTCCACCTTTTGGGAAACTTCTTGGTTACCCAATTCGGGAAACGGAACACGGTTTCTTCAAAGTGATTTAATGATGAAAGAGGTTTATGATGCACTGTTTGGAAACTTTGGTGTAGTAATGAAAATTACTTGAGTTTTTTCCCAACACCAAATCGTTATTTTTAACACCTCGACACGTGTTTCGATCACCAAGTGATCATCTTCAAAGAGGAAGATTAAAACTCTTCCTGTTGGGAAAAAACTCCAGTAATATTGTTGAAAGAGGTGATGAAAAAACAACAAACTATTTGCACGAAAATGTTTGTACGCTCAATGAGATGGTTATTCTGTGATTTGCAAATCGCAATTCGAATATTCAGATGAGCCTGAAGTCTGCTTTGTGCCGCTTCCGTTGGAGTTATAATAGTTGCATTCAATTTTGTATCGAATGAAATGTATTCCTTAAAATTATGAAAATCATTCAGATCACGTAAAGTATGCAGCAGAATAATTCGATTGTGTTTTAGTAGCATCACATAAGGCTAGTTCATCTTCCTAAGACGCTGCATGGTTGATAAAACGCACGTCGAAAAGAGCGTTGCAGTTCTAGTGTTTGGAATACAAATAATAATAATGGTCTTTATTTCCAATAGAAAAATTGTACACATTTCTCATCATTTTTACCTAGAAATTAAATATTGAAATATTCAATTCATTCAGGGAGAATATCGACTGTTGACTTGTTTCAACTCGGGCTAAACTTTATGTGAAATCTACTCAACTTGAATTAAACGCGAGTTACGCTATTCCAATTGGCAGGATGAAGATGGGTACTGAGTTCACGTACTAGCAATTTCAATACGTTCCAAACAAGAGATTTTCTTTCAGGTCCCAGCAATTTAATAAGTACAAGACACAATGAAAACAATAACAACTGGCAACCACCGATGATAATCTNTTCACGTACTAGCAATTTCAATACGTTCCAAACAAGAGATTTTCTTTCAGGTCCCAGCAATTTAATAAGTACAAGACACAATGAAAACAATAACAACTGGCAACCACCGATGATAATCTGAAATCTGATAAGTTGAGTTGTATAGTTGTTTCACCATCGATGATGGGTGTGGACGTATCGGTATGTCCATAATAGTTGGACGTATCGCATCGCAGCCTTCATCGTTATCAAAGGAGAGCGGAGAGTCCATTTTGAATACGTTTTCCCGTATTTCACTATCAGCACAAAATCATCGTTTAATGTTTTGACGTTTGGCTCACCAGTTTTCAAGAAAGCTTGTTTCATATATAACCGGTTTTTTAGTAGTACCACAATAGTAGGGATTTTACGACCATATAGCCACATATCTGGTTACTTTTGAAACACTTCTTTATTAGTCACACTTGTCAAAGGTAGCAATTATACCAACAAACCTGAAAAATTATAAAGTTACTAAAATTAGCTTGTCATCGCTAAAATTGCAAATGGCAGATGCGATGGCAGCGAGCAGTGGCGGAGTTGATTGGACTTCTGTTTTGAAACCATTTTTATCGGCAAATTATGAGACTTCGAATAAAACAGAATTAATAGAATTGTGCTCAGCGATTGTTAAAAGGTATGTCTGAATTTACATTCATCTTGTCACATTATATTTAGATCTTTGGTTACTTTATGTAGGTACCATGACATAGAATCCTTTTGAGAGACATTTTGTTAATTGGTTTTTTTGTTTCATTTTCTTTGTAGCGAATCTGAGATTTTGCGCCATAAGGAGGGCAACAAAAACTTCTTCAATTCATTTGCAGTTTTAGCTTCAGATTATATTAGTAGCGGTACAGTTGGCTGTAAGTATTATTTTTGATTACAGTAGAGATGAAATCAGTATTCCAAGTCTGAGTGTATTTTCTGACTATAAATTTGAACATCCATCATATTTTTGTTTAGTTTACTAATACTATCAATAAAAAATGTATTCACATATCCATTCCAATTATTTCATAACTGACAACTGGAATGGAACAACAGAAGTTTTAATGTCTCCTTGTTTTGTTGTCTTGAAGTGACCTTCTGAAATGTTCACACTACTCTGAATTGTAAGAACCAATTCCCAGAAATAATGTAAAAAAATAAGTATAATGGGCTTCTCACATTCAGTTACACATATTTTTTAAGACAATAATTGTGCAACTTCAAGAAGATTCATTGAAAATAGTAATAAAAAATGTTCTGTGCAGAGTAATATGTTTCAGAAAATTATTATGGTTATAATGTTGGGGTAAATTTATGCAAACTCAATTAGCAAGTAACAATTGTCAAAGAGCAAGTAACAAAAACGATTGCATTTATGCATTCCTTATAAAATAATCACAATAAAATAGTAGGCAAGCGCTTAAGCTTTCATCGAAAAAAGATCTGTAATATCAACTATTTATATTTATTGTTTTTCAACACAGTATCATCAATATCCACTTCAGCGAATAGAGGAACAAATTATTCAAGAAACGATGAAACTAAACCGAACACAGCCTAAAATGTTTTGAAATTTCAAAATTATTAGGTTAGGTTATCCCTCATTTTTACTGTTTGTGTTCTGCAATGGGCCAATCAGAGATAATTTGTGCACTAAATGCATGCTACTATAAAATTTGGTTCAGTTGAAGTAGAAGGATGGTAGATTTTCAAAAGACTGAAAATTTATATCAATGCTCATTCTTACATCACATTGTGTAATGCTCTTTTTAGTGATATCTGTTTCAATTCTACAGTAAATAGAATACAAACTGGCAGGGAAAAACTTATTTTCTTGTGATTCAATGTTCATATGAATGTAGTCCTTTCAAAAGGACTTTTTATTTGCTGTAATTCAATATTCATGTGAAAGTAGTTGTTTGGCAAGGGATTTTTATTTCAATTTGTACCTGAAAAAAACTTCTATTTTGGCAACAAGTTAATTTCAAACATTACTTTCTTCCCTTCCTCATTTTAGTAAACCAAAAAGGTTTCTTCCTAGAAACTAACCTATTCTAAATATTTCTTTCCTAATTATATTACAATTTTACTTGTTACATTGCATAATTTTAACAACAACGTGTATGTTAAATGAATGTTATAGTGACATGTTACGGAACAAACTTACAAAACAGAAAATGTTATTACAATGTGTCTGCAACATATCATATTTTTTATTCTACATATTGCATAATTGTTAAACCCTTACATTACTGAAACATGTATTAGTAATGAATTTGAAATATTTAATACTTGTTTTTTTATAACAATGAAATCATTTTCGAACGTTGATCTCCAAACTACTCCCTGACAAATTACAGATTAAATAATATAAAAAAACAAATTGGCAATAAAAACTAAGTGATAGAGTTTATTCTAAGATTATCAGAAGAATTTTTTTTTAAACTGTGACACATATAAAAACTTATTCAAGTTAGAATCATCTGAGTAAGCTATTGTATAGCAAGACATGTGTCAGTTTTTGTAAAAGCCTTATAGTAAAAATCTTACAGTAAATTATGTCAATTATAATATGAATTTTCAACTATTGGCCAGTTCTATCAAAATTTTCAAATTAACAATATAAAACACAAGAAGGAAAAGAAAAAACCAATCTATTTGTTTTTAGGCTGTTTCAGCTGTTTTGAAAACCTTCAGTCAAATCTGGAATAGTGCCTAACTGCATTTTAATAATAACGATTTATTTTCCCAAAAAATATACATGTTTATAATGGGGAAAAACCATAATTCAGAAATCTAACATAACTAAGTATGAACACAGCAATAAAAAAAAGACGAAACACTGCAGTCTCATGGACTTATTGTGTTTTCCTTCCATTTTCATCACAATATTCATTTCAACGATTTTGTGAATTTCACTACTTTATGCAGGTCCCTTGCTGGAGGTATAGCATATTTTTCTGGACATAATTTGGGTTGTCCATAAATTGTTTGCCTCCTGTGACCTAATGCCTCACATTCACATAAAATATGGCCAGCTGCTTATTCCTTTGTTGCATTGTGTGCAGCCCTACTTTGTTCAGATGTCCTCTTAATGGACAGTGCCCAGTAATTGTTCTGAGCTGATCCCTGCTTTGTTGAGGCAGTTCTTCAGTTCTCTTCTTCGATGGTCCCTTTATAAAGGTTTTCCTACGTATGTCCAGCACTCTCTGTATCTTATATAGACCCACTTTCCAATCTTGTTCCATACCAAATACTTTGTTACACTCACAGCTGGTTCAGGGCCTATATATGGAGTGGGCACGTCCATCAGCTTTTTCATTGCGTGCGATGCCTGAGTGTCCTGCAGTATATAATCAATATATACTGTCTACCAGTTTCCTCAGCCTGGAAGACTGATGTGTACTGACCGAGTGGGCAAGTGAAATGAAGATTTTTTCTCCCACAGTAAATTCCAGCTCCCGTTTCATGTTCGTAGTTTGAGACTTTAACCACGAAGTTTGTCATGTGGTCCAAACATGTTTCGAATCTATGGTTTTGTGGCGAGGTAGACTATTGTTCCGGCAGTACATCGCAAATAAATGACATGAATATGGACTGGAACTTATATGTTGACAGAGCCAAATGGGTTTATACTGAATTCTGCAGTTTACACCGGCCAATTGGATGAGATGGGCGGTAAAGGCCATGCACAAAAAGTTGTTCAGCACGTAGGAAAAGATTACCTTGACAAAGGACATTCTATTTATATGGATAATTATTACAATAGCTGCCAATTAGCTAGAACCTTGATAAACCTTAAAACATACTGTACTGGAACTCTGCGCAGTGATAAGAAAGGTGGTCCTGTTGAAATTTTGAAAAGTAAACTGAAAGTTGGGGAATCAAAAGCCCAGTATTCCGATGGTATAATGGTCGGAAAGTGGAACGATAGAAGAGATGTTACCTACATATCCACTGAATTTGAAAACCAAATGGTAGAGATAACTAATAAAAGAGGAGTTGCTAAACAGAAGCCTTTACCAATTGTGGAATACATGGGCGGAATAGTTCGTCAAGACCAAATGATGTCCTACTACCTTTCTTTGAGAAAAACATTATTCTGGTATAAAAAACTTGTTGTTCATATCCTGCAGTTCCTTTTGTTCAATAATTACATGATATTTTGCAAATACTCGGGCAGAAAAATTACATTATATGATTACCGTTTAGTTGTGATTGAAAATCTATTGCCTGATATACCACGCAGAATAGAATATATGGTATCCAAACACGTACCCAGTAAAATTGAAGCGAATAATGTCACAAAGAGAACACCAAAAAAAGAGATGTCGTTTTTGTTTCCAGAAGAAAATCAGGAAAGACACTGTGTGGGAATGTAAGACTTGTCCAGATAAACCCGGTTTGTGTGTTGAGCCATGTTTTAGTCTTTTTCACAAAAAAGTTGAATGAAGTGTTTTATTACGTTTTTGACCAAAAATGGCAAATGTAATACAATTCAATTTTTTTAAAAATGTTTTTTTTTACTTGTTGTATTTTTTTCTACTTGACCATTTTTACCCACTAACGCCATGTGGCGTCTTCCGCATATATCCTTGAAACTCTGGTACTGTGCGTAGGACGCCAATAGGCGTCCGGGCCTGATTTTTGTATAAATGAATAATTACTGCTTTTCACAAAAAATAAAACATTAAAAAAGCATACAGTCCCAAAAACGTTATTTAAAAAAATAAACATGTCTCGCACAGGAGTAGAGTTCTTAATCATTTTGCAGCGAATGTGTCAAGTGTTTATATATTGTGATCAATGACTCTAGAGTCCTCAATGGGTGCCTCTGACTCGTTTAGTTACATTTTGTGGAAAAACATACATATGCTGACCCATGTAACGATTCCCGTTTATTACTATTTATTTGTTGAAAACAATAAAAAATTATTATTATTATCCATCATGTATCATGTTTTCCATTCTCGCAATTCAGTAAGTAGATTTTCTTTGGGTTTTGGTCTTCTTTTGGGCTCGTCACAAGAAATCTATCAAAAATGGTTTAACCTTAACTTGTTAGCAACATCGAAAACAAGTAGGTCTGTTTATGGCAAAATAATAGAATATTCAATTTTGGTCTAATATTAGTTCTTGTATATACATTTCTTACAGATTAAGTTTTGCTTTTTAATTAGTTGCATAATTTGTTGATAATTGAGCAAATTTTAATTCGTTTCTAATGTGGTTACTTTTTTTTTTAGTTTTCTAAATGTAGACAATTTATTTACAACTGATTATATTATAAATGTAGCGTTGTAGCTCAACCAAAATGAATACTCAAGTTATCATCAGTAAAATGAATGAAAGATAGAATTGAAAATGAATGAACATATCCAAAACAAATATTGTTCACAAATACCAAAATTGATCTCGGTTTATATCTAATATCATTTAGAAAACTGCGTTTATGTGGAATAAACTTCCTGAGAACATTCTTCCAAATGAATTTAATCTCCAGCGGTTCAAATCCAACGTAAATCGCTACTTTCGCACAGGCACCGCTCTTAGAGCGTCTTGAGGATTTTCCTTTAGTGCTTGCGTTTTGTCCTAAAAAATGTTCATGGTCTTCAAAGTCGAATGTGTGCTACGTGTTCTTTGAAACAAGTTTCAATGGCTGACTTTGACTTACCCATGATGTTTTTGTCACATTCCTCACAGCTTACTTACTTCATCCATCTTTTCATTTTCCAACATCTTGTCTTTAGGGTTACCTACCATTTGTTGAAGTGAGCAAGAAAAAGTTGAACGTAAAAGTAGCCTTCAGAACTTCTTGCACACTTCAAAAAAGTAAGGTAACCCTAATGACGAGATGTTGGAAAGAGTTGGGGATATATGAAATAAGCTGAGAGGACTGTGAAGTTCCACTCGAATGTATACCCTGTTATTTATTGATAGAAACCAGTTTCAGAGTAAGGAATTAGTGTACTTTATCTCCAGAAACGCGCGTCGAGAAGAGTGTTGCAGTCCTGGTGTTTGGCAACGGTACTTGTTTTGGATCACAGTAAAATTAATCATTTTTATTCTTGATTACATTCCTATGCTCTGTCATTAATAATTTTCTTGATATTTATCAAAGATGTGGTCAGAAAAGCACCAACTTTTAAAAATTCTATCTGATTAACCCTTTTCAAATATAGTGTTAGCAAGCCAGTTGGAGACAGTAAGTGCCGCATGTCGAGTTTTGCTGAAGTATCTGTTGAGTACTCTACATGCTATTTGTAGCGAATCCAATCCAAACAGTTCACAGATTGAACGATATTTAAATGCAATTCGAGTATTGTGTGTAGGAACAGGGCTACTCTCCACTACGGAAGTAACCTGCCTGGTGGACAGTATGAAAGGGGAAAATTTACCACAGCATCCAAATCCCAGTCCTGCAGGTGAGTTGTAATAACTTTTTTAAGGTCTCAAAAAACCTCAAACCATCCTGAGAAAAATCACTTTGAAATTATATGTAGTTAAATATACCCAGCATATGCCAGATATATGAAAGAATGTGAATATTTTCGCACAAGACCTTTGTGGTTTAATAAAACGAAACAAGGCCTTTCTCCTTATTGGCATTTAAAAATTACTCTGATCCGTTAATTGTAAAAAAGGAGTAAGCATTGAAAAAAGAAATCGATCTTTCGAATAAGACGTATCATTTAAGACTCAGGCATATTTGGCATATTTTCACCCCTAGCCGAAGGGTGAAAATATGCTAAAAAATTTCCCCCTCAATTTAAAAATCGACGAGCCAAAAGCAATTGTTTTTAAAATGCCATAAGGAATCATCTCTTTCTTTGAATAACTTTTTTGTATTCTAGGCAATGACAAAGAGGCAGGTAACAAACAAGAAAGTTCAAAGAACCGTTCTGATCTCTCGGTTAGCATTTTTGAACAACTAACATTGCCTTTACGAGATGGTCATACCACTACTATCGACCAAGGTGCTAATGCATCTGTAAATTTACCTGAGTCATCCGGAAATGACCCTACTTCTGAGATAAATGTAAGTATTCATTCAGTTCGCCCTATATACAAAATTATTTCTGCTGTTATAGACAATTTAGATTTTGTGCACAAATAAAGCTTATGTGGGACTGTTTATACTATTTATTTATTCATTCATTCATTTATTTTTAGGGGAAAAAACCTTTTTCTATAAAATAGATTCAACTCAATATAGAAATTCAATATAAGTCAAGTAGATCTCAAGCGTAAACAAATTTTGAGACAGTGATTTTTTCAATTGAGCAAAGTAGTGTCTGACCGAAACTGGTTTTTACGACCGAAACCGAAAACGAATTTCGGCAATGGTCTCAGTTTCGGCCGAAACCGAAACTTTTCCTTCTTTTGAATATTATTGATGGTGTTTCAAAAATATTAAACATAAAATTACTTATTTAAGTTGTTACCTAATATCACAATAGGTACTTAATATTTATGTAATAAACAAAGTGAATCACGAGTAATGACATGATTAGGCACGTGGAGTCGGCAAAATGTCTTCGTCGCTTGTATGAAATTCAACGCGCCGAACATGACCGATCATCGGGAACTCCCGAATGCAGTTTCGGTTGTAGTTTCGGCAGGTTTGCCACCGAAACCCGTTTCGGTGGTTTTAAGGGTGAACTCCTAAGAGTTCACCCTTGAAAGAATTTCCGAGCTGCATGAGTCGTGATATTGAGTAGAAATATCCATAATTAGTGGTATGGTTTGGTAATTCAAACAAAGCAGGGTTTCAACTTGCTTTGACCGGAAGTTTGAATAACAAAGTAGACATGTTATACCTGCTGACATGTTAAAGTTGATAATAAATGGATTATTCTGTTCCTCAATCTATCTGAAATCTGTTTTTCTCATTAACCAACTGTACTCGCTCATGAACGACAACCTTCAGAAGTCAGAAGTTGTGCCAGCTAAAGATTAATGACATGTGTGTCAAGTTTTGTATATGGTATACTTTATTTTGACAGATAGAATTAGAACCTCTGGCATGAAATGAATCTAAAGACACTTTTCCCACACCAGAACAGATCCACTGTCTTTTAACATTCGCTAACCAAGTTAACATCATCACTACATAAAAAAATATCTGATGATGCTAACTTGGTTAGAGAGACGCATGTTTGGAGAGACGCATGTTTTTGTTCTGATGTGGGAAAAGTATTATCTTTAGGTGTACTCTATTTTTGAGCCATCATATTTTGGCTGTGCAAATGTGAATATGTACCTATAATAATTTATTTGTATGCCACATCTTGGAAATATTGTAATTGTGGAATCATGGGCTTAGCACATAAATCTAAAACTATTTGTCAAATATAACACCAAGATCCTTAACTTCAACTTGGATCAAAGGCAAATAGTTTGTGCAGCATTCATATGTGATTGGTGCCTGAATACGATTGAAACACATGACTAGAAATTTGTTAAGGTTCAGTTCCAAGCAGTTATTTCTAGACCAATTGGTTAAATGGTTCACATTCAGACAATTAACATACTTTTCAATCAAAAGATATAGCTTGAGATCATCAGCAAATAACAATCCCGCTGAGTTAATAATGTGTGCAATAAGATCATCAATATATATATTGAAAAGGAATGGTCCACAGTGACTACCTTGGGGAATACAGAACATGTAATTATAATTGTAATATATTGAATTCATTCACCTCACTTTATGACTTAGGGGGAGATTCGTTATTTCTCAGCGTTTTTTATTTGATACATATTTATTCAGTTCATTTTACATGTGTTAATCTTCCAACATGTTGAATATTTTTGAATTGAAATTATGAATTTTCTGCATATTAGACTCAAAAACTAACCTTAGTAATATCTCCTGCTTTACCAAAAAGATATATCTGTGAGGTATAACACTAATTATTTAGTAACAAATAATTGGTCTGACTGTTCTAGAATTGGATTTCATTGGTCAGAGGTAACGCAAAACTCTGCTTCTATTTTTTGTTATCTACTACTTTTTTCAGTGGCAATAAATTTATCAGCGGTTGTCCCAATTTTAAATCACGAAATATATTGTTAATAAAAGAAGAATGAAACACATATTTTTGCATTCCATATTAAAATAAATGAATATGCCAAACATTAAGACTAGTAGCCATAATCAAAAGAGTTGACCCATCAAATTCCACTGGATTGGTCAGTGTTTGAATATCAGAACAGATAGCACCCACATGCTCTTAGTTGAATGCATACAATTTTGGTTATTTATGAGTTAAAAATAGTTTTCTGGGATTTTTTTGTCATTTCTGTGCTGAAGATAGAAAAGACTTTCTACGGATAATGGCGTTACTCAAACAGCTAATAGCTGATCAGAATAACTGAAATTTTAACATAGGTTATGAATATTACTGGAGTTTTTTCCCAACACCAAATCGTTATTTTTAACACCTCGACACGTGTTTCGATCACCAAGTGATCATCTTCAAAGAGGAAGATTAAAACTAAGGACTAGTGCGAACTAATCCTATTTATGCTGTAAAGGTAACTCATACAGGTAAACCATCTAGGCATACCCACCTAAATTAATTTTACAATTTTGCCTTATCTATTATTTTACAATATATGTTTATATAAAACAATTTTCAGCTATATAAAAATTAATTTCACAATATTGCCTATCAAAATTTATTTTTTTCAATGTGTCCTATTAGCTCGCACTAGTCCTTAGTTTTAATCTTCCTCTTTGAAGATGATCACTTGGTGATCGAAACACGTGTCGAGGTGTTAAAAATAACGATTTGGTGTTGGGAAAAAACTCCAGTAATATTCATTACTACACCAAAGGTTCCAAACAGTGCATCATAAGAACATAGGTTATGCTTATTATTAGGAGTTTTTTGTGTTGTTATTTAATTGTGAATTTGTGAGAGTAATGTTCTTTAGTGTGTTTATTGTAAACATGAGAAACTGATGAATAGGTAAAATGAATTATTTTCACTCACGAGTAGCACAAGAAACCCACAACAATATATGAAACCAGCTGATAGGATTTTGTTTTTGTTTTACCATCTGGCTTAGTTTCAATATATATGGTAGATGTAGTATCGGGAAGATGAGCTTCCCAATCCTTAACGTCTTAACAGTCTGTATTTATGTAGTTATAGAATGTTTTTATAGACGTTACACTATTTTCAGAAACTTTTCTTGAAAGTGAATACCGAAAGTTTACAATCCTTGAGAGCAGGCGATACATTAACAGACCTCTGTCTGAGTTTACCATCCATTAAGAAAGCAAAAATCAAGGTGGAGGAGGCTCTAGCTGGAAAACCTTTTTGCATACCTACTAACCATACAGAAGCAACAGCACTGAGGAATGGGTAAATATTTGGATTAATTATGGAGTTGAAAAGTTACAATTTTAGGTGTCATGTATTTTTATATAAGAATATACCCTAAAGTTCTGCCAACTATAATAATATACAAAATGTAGTAGCAGTATCATTAAATATTATCTTATTAAACCTTATTGTGATATCAAACACAGATTTTTCCAATTGTTCAATCCTACAATATTTATTCATTTAATTCTTTTGACTTACAGCCTCTCATCAACATTATCAGAGATTAATTTAGCCATGTCTGCTATAAATCTACCAGTTCTGGAACCATTAACGTCAAGTAAATTGGATAAGTTATGTAGCCTGGCAATGGCTGTCATACATTGTGCACTTGGTCAAGCTACAGCTAGCGCAGTGCTAACAACTAGTTCTGTAATATCCCCAAAATGTTCGAATCAACAACCTCAAGCAGGTTTGAAAGAAGACGATTTAGATTCGAATGCAGTAGCACTTGTAGAGGAAGCGTTAAATATGTATACTTATATAGGAAACACTATTAAATCATCTACAAGAGCTGGAGGACATGTAAGTTATTTGCATGTAAAGTAGTCTTAAGTTGTGTACTTACTGATTTGAATAAAAGGTATTGCTAGAATGTCTTTCTAATATTTTTAAAATGTATTTTAATGATTAGTAACCAGTATTATTTCATAATATGGCATTATTTTTTCCTCCTGTTGTACAGAATGTAAAAAAATAACCGTAGGATATTGGAATATTTTCATATGACAATCGGAAGCAAAAAGTCAAATATTTAATTTATACGAGTTGAAATCAAGTAAAAATCAGCAGCCTAAATACTGATATTTAGAATTCATGATCAACTTTTATTTTTTGAATACGGACCTCTAGCTTCTTTCCGTGATTTTTGTAGCCACTGTAATGACTAATTCAGCTATAAATTTCAATACATGTATTTCCCGACATTTTTTTCATCACTGTATTGTCATACAATTCCCGGTCAGAGCTACCTCAAAAAAGTAGAGATCAATATTTTTTGGGCCTAAAACTCAAAACTATACATAAACTCCAGATATCGGAAGAACATGTAATGTATGAAGTAACAAACGGAAAAAATTAATGTTAAAATACTCCTAACTATCTGTGTCATTCACAATATAAATGTCATTAAATGTTCAAATTGCCGTCCACTGTTCTTTGATCACTTTAGCTCTTGCAAAAGTATTTTTATTGCAATTTTCCAGCATTGGTGAAGGTATAGCCATGCAAGCCCTCCATATTGTTTTTTTCAATTCGCCAATATCTCCAAAAGTTGAGCCAAATACCTTGTCTTTAATGAAGCCCCCACAATGAAAATTTCAGAAGGGTCAGGTCAGGTGAACGTTACTACCCACTGTTACTACAAAAATAGTATAGTGAAATAAAAACAAGAAAAATATTAAAAATTTCACATTATATGCTTAATTTGCTTCATGCTATAAGATGAATCACAAGAGTTACAAATTTTGCAAAAATTATTACCCCTAATCAGGGGTACCTCCAATCGGTGATTTCATGAGGACATTGGTTCTTGCTCATAAGTTATAGAAAGTTAGATTGTTTCTGCATGTGAATTGCGGGACCTTGAAATTGAGTTGGCTTGGTAGATCGGAACAATCTATAAAATTTTAAACCAGTTTATGGAGGCATGAAATAGAAGCTAAGCATTTTCTAAACTCCATGCTTTTAAAGTTAAATGTATCCATTAACTGATAATATGTTTCCCGCTGTGGCTGTATACCGTCAACTTTAATAGCTAAATATTTGAGGAACTTTTTCTTCGTGTTTCCAATCCTAATAATGTGTGAAGCATAGTGATGACTCCATATAGTAGACCAATATTCTGATTTTGATCTAATATAAGAAAAATATCAAGTCTTCAAGGCAACAATGTTGGTAAAATTTTCGCAATTGTGTACTATGAAGTCATACATCCTAAATGGCTCTGAAAGTTTAATGGCGAATGATAATAATAATAATAACTTTATTCGTCTTTTTGATCATTCACATGATATAAGACATGTCTTAAATAAAAATATGAAAATTATATAAAACAATGATAACGGTCCACAGTATAACATAGATCGGACACTTGAAACAGGTACTTAACTATAGGTTCGTTCCAACCTTAAGTCACCAACAGATTTCTAACAGTTTGTAAATCGTTGTTAACGCGCATGTCTGGTAGATATTGGTTTCTGATCAATTTGAAATTTCTGATTGGAACAGCTGACAGCTGATAGTTCAACTGAAGTTTGGCATGGAATTTCAACATAACCTTTAAAAATAAATCTAATATACAATATATAGTTATGCATATATGAATAATTTATAAACGTATATAATTTTACATTGCGTCATGTATTACAATTTGATATATTCTAATAATAACTTTTTGAATACTCTTAAGGAATTTACATGTTTTATTTCATCAGGTAACTTATTGAAACTATCTAGACCTTTAAAGAACAATGAATTCATTCCACTCTTATAGTTTGTTCGGGATCTATAAAATGTATTACATGTTCTTGT